TGTGGCAGTGTCTGTGACTGGCATTGTGGCAGTGTCTGTGACTGGCATTGTGGCAGTGTCTGTGACTGGCATTGTGGCAGTGTCTGTGACTGGCATTGTGGCAGTGTCTGTGCCTGGCATCGTGGCAGTGCTGATGCACCCCAAAAATCCCCGCCGTGCCCTCGGCACTGCAGAGGTGGCTCCCATTGGTGGGGATCAGAGCCCCTGTGCCCAGCACTGGTCCCTGCTGTGGCAGGGCTGTGTCTGATGTCCCTTTGTCCCCTGTTCCCCTCTCAGGAAGCAGCACGAGAGCGAGGAGGGCGAGAGCCACCGGCGCCACAAGCACAAAAAGAACAAGCGGAGCAAGGAGGAGAAGGAGGCCAGCGAGGACGGGGCCCAGGAGGGAGAGGAGCAGGACACCAAGGAGTGAGCCAGGCCCCCACAGCCCTGGGCAGCGACTCTCCTGTGGAACCAGCATGGAATTGGTGATGTTTTGTTTGGGGGGTGATTTTTTTTATTGTTATTTTTTACTTTTTTCCAAGGGAAGAGGCTGACTGGGCGAGCCGGGGCACAGCCAGCAGTGCTTCAGGAGCTGAGGCTGCACGTGCCCTTAAACTTCCTTTTTTTGTTTGGTTTTGATACAAGACAATACAGCAGTACTAGTTACAAAGCACTGAGCTACTCTACTCATCCACATCCCTGGGGAGAACTTTGGTGTATCAGATCCTATGGTTTCTGATGGAAGATGGCTTCAGCTGAAACTAATGCAATTAGGTCATAGTTCTTGGTTCTTTTTGGCATCATCATTCCTTTTTCAGAACTAGGACAGTAAGTGCAACTTGAATTTATTGTCCAAAGAACAGCGTGACTTAGATCCAGGAGCCAGCTTAGAGCCTGGTGTCCGGTAGTGAAAAGTCTCATCCCTGAATAAATTTCTTTATAGCTGCAAAATCAGCTTCTGATTTCTCCGTGGCCAGCTGGGCGTGCCAGGAGGAGCTGCAGGATCTGCTCCAGGTGGGCACAGAGGCCTGCCTGGATGTGGCAGCTTCCAGAAGCTGCTGAGGGCGTTCACACAGCGTGTGCAGAGACTCCAAAACTGGTTTTTTATCCATTGCTAAGGTAGTTCTGTCATGTTACACCCCTGCGTGGGGAATCAATGAAGATCCACAGCAAGAGCATGAATTTCTCTTTAATTCCTTTTGACTTAACTATTTTATTTCCTTTTTTTACTAAGAGTTGACTGAATAACCTAGAGTACAGTAGAGAACACCAAGTCCCAGTTTGCAGTTTGCCCTCGTGGGACTGGTGTTTCTATTTGGGTATCACCAACACTCCTGTCCAATGCATTCCTTTCCCTTAGATCCCAAAATAAATTTAGTCAAATTCCAAAGTTTCTTTGGATTTAGTATTGGTTGGGGAAGGGGCGACAGAAATGTTTCTGGGTGGGAAGAACAGGGGAAATAATTTTCAGGGGTTTTTGTCTGTCTGGTCATTAGGTTCCTGCCCTTCTGTTCATGTGAGTCCACAAATGTCTCATTTTCCTTTGACTTGTTATTTAAAACTGTCTGAAATATTTGTCCTAAAATAATATGGTTCTGAATATAATGTTCTGTATTTTTTGGTATTGTAATCTTGGAAGTCTTGAGTGTGCTGGGAAGTGCCCAACCCTGTGCCAGGAGAGCCCTTGGGTTTGGGTTCAGCATTGTGACAGTGCAGTGATGGTTTGGAACTGCAGAGCCCAGGGGAGGAGGAGGAGGAGGAGAACTGGGACTTCTGCTGGGTTTGGCTTTCATGGAGTTTTTTTAATGTGCTTGAGCTCCTGAGAAATGTGTGTGCACTGAGGCAGGCTCAGCTGGGATCAGGCTGCTCCTGCCTCTTTTGGGAACATCTCTCACTGCCCCCTGGCAGCTCTGCCACTGGCTGTGCAAGGAACAGGGGAATCCTCCTGGCAGCCTCTGCCCAGGGCTGGGCTGCAGCTGGGAGTGCCCAAAAGCTTTTAGGAGATGAACTTGAGGAGAAACTCAGGCCAGAGTGGTGAGGAGGATTCAGGAGTGCTGCTTCTGTGTCCCCTGGCACTGCTCACCACAGAGGGGCCCAGAGCCCTGCCCAGC